GAGGTCCAGGTCATGTTGAAGCGGGTACCGGTCTGGGTGGAGTCGCCGTCATCGCCGTAGACGTTGGTGCCGTTGATGAGACCGTTGTCGAGAGTCGGGGGACCGGAGGTCTCGGCGGTGGAGTAGAGCTCATCGACGGTCTGGTGGTCCCAGTCGTTCAGGAAGACCATGCCGAGGTCCTCATCGTAGTTGGCAGTGGCGGGACCGTTGATGATGATACCACCGAAGATACCCTGCCAGGCCTGGAGGGCGAAGTGGGAGTGGTACCAGGTAGACCCGTACTGGGTGGCCCTCCAGGTGTAGGTCATGGTGTTGTTGGGCGCCAGAGGGCACTGGGTGATGGAGCTGACACCATCGGCCTCGTTGGTGTAGTTCTGGCGAATGCCGTGGAAGTGAATGCTGGTACCGTTGTTGGAGGTAGTCAGGGAGTTGGTGACGTGAACGGTGACAGTGTCACCCCAGTCAGCGAACAGGGTGGGACCGGGGATAGAGCCGTTGACGGCCATGGCAGAGCGGGAGACACCATCGGGAGAGACGGTGACGTCGGTGAGCTCGAGCCAGTACTCGCGGGTGACGCCCGTGTCGGGGACGGTGTTCATGTAGTCGGTGCTGGTGTCGTAATCGCACCACTCAGAACGAGTGCTGGCAGTGTTGCCACTGCAAGCCGCACGAGGGTAGAGCTTGGACGGGAAGGGAGAGTCCACAGCGGAAGGGAAGGCAGAGGCCAAGCCGGCGAGGGCTCCGGCCACGAAGAGAGACTTGAGCATTGTGAGGGAGTGTGAAGTGCCAAGAGAAGGTAAAAGAAAGACTGGATGACACAAGTAGGAAAAGAGTGAAGGAAGCAAAGAGCGAATGGAAGCGCAGAGCGAACTGTGCTGGGTGGTGAGAGAGTGGGAATGGAGTCAAACAACCGACGGGCCGCAGAGCTTATGTATTCCGCACATCAACCGGCTCGCGGCAAGAGCGATAGTTCATAGAGTCTAAAAACTCTATTACCCCAGTGAATGGCTTCACGTCTCCAGTCTCCCGTAGAGCCGCTCTTGCCGGTATCCATAGGACCATAGCTCCTCGGACTTGCCCCAGTAGGTTATGATCTTCATGCATAGATTCAGCGAGAGAAAGCGTCTATGGATCACGGCAATATCTCACGATGATTCCCATGTCGAAAGAAGGATGTTTCTGATACATGCCCCTATGTGACCCATGCGTGGCTGTACGGGGTCGTAAGATGGTACGTGTTGGAGACGTGTAAATGAACCGCAGTTGGGCTGACTCGTAGCAGCTATAGACTAATTCACAATGCTAGGGCCAGCGTCAAGGAGAAGCTAGGCAAAGAGGGGGGTGTCAAGGAGTCGGCTGGGGTTCGACCCGCTGCAGCCTCACAGGGCCGACATCCAGGAGTCAAGGAAGGGCCGGTTGTGCCGTTCGGTCGACGCTCTGAGCCGTGGATGACCGGGTTGACCGACCATCCGGAAGTGTGGGAGCGATCGGAGCTCCATGCCCGGCCGATTAGGTCTCCACTTGGAGACGCTGATTTTAGAAACTTCCGACTCCGCTCTACGGGCGAGGTTGTCTGTGCTTGAAGGGGGTGTTCGTCCTCGCCAGGAACACGTTGCGCAGCCTCCTTGATCTTACGTGGTTTCGCTCGAAGCCATCCCCCTTTCGCGATGGTCTCGGCCTATAATATCCCTGCTATATATCAAGAACCCGCAAAAGCCCCATAGATCGTGGACCCCAGCATGGCCCCCGTTCATCCCACATTCCGAAACACCACTCCCGGCTTGACATGTCCCCCGCTTCCGGGATGTGCCTAGCTCCCGATAAACGACAACGGCGCTTCCACGCTTTATGGTTGGCCCAGGGCCGTTTCCGTCCCATCAGCTTCGAAAAAGCTTGGCCAGTTGCCGTCACGGCAATGACCGACGCGTCAAGGACATGCAGGAAATACAGGAGAATTGATGCTAGATCACCTCTCCACCTGATATCACAGTGGAGTCTAAGCCTCATCAACATACTTCCCTGAACATGCGGAATTCTGCCTAGTACCAAAGCGTACGTTCGTGCCCAAGTTTGTCAAAGTCCAAGTTGCGTCTTTGCCAGGAACAGAAGCTGTAAAGGTTGTGTTGCATCTGGCTGGGTAACCTGTGCCGGGAAGAAACCCGAATAAAATTTGCAACCTTGTATAGGGAACTCCGGCAAGGAGACGCGGCTTGCACGGATGACTCGACAATGCTCTGCGGTTTTTATTTAATCAACACGGCCTCCCCTCAGCCAACTCCCTTTTAGGAACCCCACCTCTTCACCTACACTCACCTAGTCCATCCTTTTCTCTCGCTCTTCTCCTCGAGTCTCTTTTACAGCCTCATCCAATCGTTTAGCCGACCTTCCACTCTCATTTTCACTTTTTTGAAAAAGACAACCGCAGCCATGCAGCCCGTCGCATCCGTTCTTCTGTTCCTCGCCGCCCTCGCGGCCGCTGCTCCCTCCTCGGAGCGTCGCGCCGTCGCCGCCGACAACTCCAGTCCTTTCCAGGTTTACGCCTATGGCACCGGAATTGGAGGACTTGCCATGTTCTCCTCTGGAGGTGCGTCCGGTACTGTATCATTTCGAGCTTCTTTTTCGAGGGTTTTACAATACCTCACCGCATGTAAATAGGAGCTTTTAGGCTCAGAGTGCACGCCCCCCCTGTTCTCGTTTGTCCGGCTTTGAAGCTCTTCTTTTGACATACCTATTCTACTTTGGTATTAACGGAGAATCAATAGGCGATGCTTACTTCGGCGACCACACCAAGTTGAACGACACCCAGGCCGCCCCTGTCATCTGTAAGTCACCGCACCAAGGCCCTGGCAAGAACATGTTGACTGACCATCGCAAAGTCACCCCCAATGACAACAACACCTGGACCGGCGCTCCCAACACCACCGCCATCGGCAACAGCACCACTCTTCCCACCTGGTCCAACCTTCCCTTCTCCATCCCCAGCGAGACCTCTGGCTCCCACGACGTCGGTTTCTCCAACTCCAGCTCTACTGACCGTCAGACCTCTGGTTTCACCTTCTACGGCTCCTTCATCTTCGTCGACAGCACCTCCGGTGGCGGCATGGAGTCTCTGTGGTATGCTACGCCCAGCAGCGTCGACGGCATCTACAACCTCAAGTGGAACCAGACTGGCGACGACTCCGCCAACAAGATCACCCTCACCCTCAAGAAGACCCCTCCCTCCAACGCCCAGATCACCACCGCCGAGGCTGAGACCTCTGCTTAAGCGGATCGCTCTCTCTTGGACGCTTGAGCTCTCTCACCATCAAGGTGGAGGACTCAGGCCTGTGTATACTTGCTTCTTGGGCCTTTGCGCATTTCCAAACGTTGCAGGCGTTTTGTAATGTGTAGTGGCGGAATCTAGGGATCATTCAATGGGAACACGTAGCGGGATAGAATTTGGGAGTGCGAAATCAAACATGGCTTGAAATTCTTTTTCATTTCTGATCTAAACCCCTTGCCGGTTCATGTGCCAAACAGAATCATCATCGCTCGTGACGTATAATCTAGTAGTACAAAGTATGACTTTTCGCCTCATTAAAATGCTTCAGCGACGCTCGCTCGCGATCTCCTCAGCAGAAATAGGCGGCAGGTTCTCCGCAGGCGTGATGTTCTCAGGGTTACCACCATCACCACGAGCCCCGGGAGCGACACCAACGTCGAGGCGACGGTCGCGGAAGTTGTCCTTGCCCGAAGCGCCGACGCCCTCGAGGCCAGCGCTCTCCTTGGCGCGGCGACCGACGTTGGAGCCATGCATCTCGGCGCTGGTCTGGCCCTGGACAGGCTTGCCCAGACCAGCGTGTACGTCAGCCGAGGTAGCGCCGGGGAAGTCGTGAGCCGCCGTCCGACCTGAAGGGTCCACGTTGGGGTTCAGGGCCTGGCCGGGGGTCTCGGAAACTGCGTTGGGCTGGAAGGTGTTTTCCCGGGGTGCGGTGCCTGCAGGGTAGGCCTGGGCGTGGAACTCAGGGTATGCGTCGTTTCCGACCTTGGTGCCGGGGGCATGCTGTGTTGGGGTTAGAATGATGTGCGCTTCAGGTGAGAGTGATTGATTGATAACTTACGCCCTTGGTGGTGAGAGGCTCAGAGCGAGGGACGCTGGGGTGGAACTCGCCCTGCTTGGGGTTGACGGAGTCGATGTTTCTGGTGGTAGACATTTTTATAGTGTGGAAGTAAAGTTTATGGATTGGAGAGTTGTTGTTTGTTGATAATGGTGGAATTGGGTATCTCTTGTGATCGCGGTTGATTCGATTGTGTAGAACAAAAAAAAAACCAACTTGTCCAGTCGTAAACATTGTCTTAAGTAGCTTATTGGAAACTGCAAAATCGCCTCGATGAGATATCTCTGAGGCGATCATGATGCAACATCACAATTACATCACGGTCGCGGAGGATGAGATAAGAGCACCACTTTTCCTGTGGAGCGATGAAGTCAAATCGCAGCAAAGACCCTCATGATGTCAGAAAGCCCGATTGTCGACAAAGGCAAGAAACGAATTGGCAGTGGATGGCAAATTGAAATCGAAAATCTGATGCAGGATCCAATGTTTCTTGGTGGGTGTGGTTGGGAGATCCGATAAGCGCAGAATATCCCGTCCAAGTGCTGATGCGGACGTTTTAGTCCGGTCGGACTCGGTCTGCCTCGGTCTGGGTCGGTGAACACACCGGGACCCACCGAATTCACCGAACTGGAGAAGATAGGGGGGAGGCGAAGGCGACATGACGCAAGTCCCAACCCACTTCTTGCGGCTGACAGCTTGTTTCAAGATGTGGGACCAACCTCGTTCGGGAATCTTCCAGATCTGCATCTTCCTTGGCTTCAGCCTTATCAAGGCACGCCCTGCATCATTCCGTGGGTTGTCCACAATGATAACATCGATTGAGTGGCGTTAGCATGAAGTTTTCGATATCACACTGCTGGATCTTCAGGCCATGCTCATGCGGCTTGAAGTCGGTGCGCCTGTTCAAGTTGCTGCTGCCCTAGGGATCAAAGGACCACCTCTCTGGCGAGCTTCCTCTTCCATCATGTCTTCAATACCCCGCAGCATACCCAGTCTCTCCATGTCGTTCGCCTCCTCGCACCATTCCCTTAACTTCTTCATCTGACGTTCAGCGTTTGCTCTGTTCGCCCACGGAGCGTTGGCATAACACCATATGGATTGGAAAAGAAGACTGCGCGCTTGGTGGCGGTCCTCCGTGTTATTACGAACGTAGCGGCAATCAGCCAAGTAGGCGCAGCTGGACCCGTAGTAGAGCCTCGCGTGTGACCCCTCGACGTGCTCGTTCAAGTCAAAGTATTCCTGGGCGCGTTTGTAGAACACCTCCGCCATATCCAGGACATCCTTCTCCCCAGGTGCCACTATTGACAGATACGCAATAACGTATCGGTGAAAATCCAGCACAACCTTTGGTTGGTCTTCGTGGTGTAGTGTAACGTGTCGGGTGATCTCAAGAGATTTTCTCCGGATTTTATTGTCCGTCTTATGGATGGATTTAGCCTTTCTTGCGTTGAGTAGAAGGATGAGATAAAACCCGACGAGACTAATCGAGCCCAGGGTCTCTTCTACTCTATCTTCAAGACGGTAGCAAATCTGTTCCATGGACGACTGAAATTCTTCGTGGTTTGTGATAAAAACAAGATGGCGAAGCTTTCGTATAAGCTGGGCAAAATCATGGTGGGTCCCTGGATTTGTTTGGGAAGTCTCAAATAAAAGTGTAACCAGCTCTTGGATCGTAGTCCAATTCGTTATCTGGTTCAACGTGCTCAAGACCCCGATTGGTACCGTCGCGTGGAATGATGTGATCATCTCTTCGACTGTCTTACCGGCAACCGTTTTGCATTCCCCCACCTTTAGTTGACGATTTACCAGAGAGCTGCGTAGTTGACTTTCGAATCGGAGTTTGGAGTGGAGGCTTTGATATATATCGACGTGATCATCGGGTGCTGGCCTGTCTCGACGTTCCGCAACTAGTCTCGCGAGTATTTCGCTAGCTAGTCTCACGATCTCTTGGCATGTCTGTGGGGTTGTGAGGTTTTCGCCATCTTGAGAGCCGGTAGGAGAGAGGTCCCCTACCGTAGTTGCCGGCGTCAATGGCCAAGGTTGTGGACGGGGAGACAGTGTTTCCGAGTATTCAGATGCGGCATCGTTGATTATTGGGGACTCTTCCGGTGGTGTTATCGCACGGGCGGGGTCTGGTGGTAGTCGGCGAGGGATGATGCTATCGTGAGAAGGGATGTCGAGGTCGTCTGGCAAGGGAGCTGGTTGTGATGGTCCTGCGGGTGATTGTTCTCGGCTGTCTGGCCCACCGTCCCCCGCATCTCGTCTATGCCGTCTGTTCTTTTCGACTCCCCACGTCTTGAAGCGACCCTTAAACATACGATCCCTGGAGAACTAATAAGTACTTTGCATTGAACCGGTGGTAGAAATATCTCTCACGTGGCCAAGAACCCATACGTCTCCCTCATATGCGCCCGGACCGCCTTCAACGGCCGGCGCGAGTACATGTCAACAATGACGGAGCGGTGTTGCTCCCATTGTTGGGCAGTCGGCGGCGTCACCATGATGGACGGGCGAGCAGCTCCGTGTTCAGCAAACAGTCTCGGTCACCGGCGACGGAACACAATACGACGCGAACAGTGCGTCCAGACTCGAGAGGCGTTGGGACATGGAGCGGTGAATGTGGGCAAGCAACGGCGGCGGCGCGTGAACTACGGATGTCGACATGGGGGGTTTATGAAGCTTGTAGCACAGAATATGTGCATTTCCGGATTGGTCAAGGTCTGGATGGAGCTGCCACGACTTAGCTGCATGTCAGATTCGCGAGCGGTCCAATCACGACAAGTCGCTTGTCCAGAGGGCCATAAAATCCATCCCACATTCGCCAATTAGGCTCAAGAATTAAGTACTGTGCAGGAACAAGGGTGATTTTGGGTTCGCCCGTTGAAAAAACTCGTGATGGCGAACCATCGCGTTGGTGTGAAGGCAACCTCATACCCTAGGACAAGGCAAAGTCTTGGGGCGGATGTGCTCATGGTATGCTGTGACAATGGGGCGAATGTTTGCATATTGTGATTGTTGCATTGTTTAGTCTCTCAATTACAATTCGTCAATTTAATGCATCGATGAGCTGGCGACTGCTTAGTCCCGCATCTCTAAGGCCATTTGGTCGCAGACAGTACCCAATGTGCCCCTCCACGATGAACAGATTTATAAACAAATGCAGATCGGCCTCTCAATTTTTGCAAAACTCGTTTGCGTAACGAATCATATGACAAAACAGGATTTTATATCATACAGTCTAATGGGCTGTTGACGGAACACAAGAAGAGGCTCTGCGAAACGTCTGGCTATTGACACGTGTGTTGACTGGCGAATCGGGGCCGACGTCAGCACTGGGCCAATCGATAAGCAATGCTCAATTGCGATTCCGGCTTTCAGGGCTTTTCGGTAGTGCATTCATGCCGGACGGTGATCGATCGCAAGCCTCACCCAACGTCCAATGAGGCCCTGTGGCGTCAACAAAGCGCCTTATTTCGAAACGGCAATGCGAACAAAGTCCCTGGACATGCAAGAACTCCGCGTCTTGCTGCGCTTACAATATGAGGCATTTAAGCCAAGTGCAGCTGCGCAACGGTCGGTATTGTTTTGATTCATGTTCAAAGTCTTGTTCGAACCACCACCACACCAATCGGAATACAGGAGTCACAACCAAAATGAAAATTACGAGACCGCGAAAAATATTTCTTGATGTGGCACAGAAATCTCGACTTCGATGAATGATCAAGGACCTGTTCCCTTTGTCCACCTGTCCTGCATGCGATTGGCATCTGATGTGGACGATGGCGAACCATGTCGCAGCGACAGGCCTTGTATCTGATTTTATCCTCGCATCGTCTTGGTAGTCAATTCGCATCGGATAACGATCGTGCAACGATAAGTTTCGATAATCCTACTACTATTGAACGACGAGTCGTTAGCTGTGTTCCAGAGATATTCTGCAATACTAAAAATGGTTCCACTTAGCTGAGCAAGTTTTTCCAAACCGCACCAACACTTAGGCAAGACCATTGAATAGGCTTTGGAAGACTACAAGCGAACAGTAAGTCATAGCTATCAGAGATACCGTGTCAGAATGCAAGCTTTCGACGGGACTGATCTGAAGTTCGCGCCGTTATCCACCAAGCAGCTGTGGAGACTGGTAACTCAATAATGAAGGGTAATAGGAGCAGAGTTCCTGCATACAACGGTAACTATATTTCGCGAATTTTTCGATCCAAATGCTTTAGGAGTTAGGAAAAAATGAGCTTTTCATGTCCTTGCATGTGTAGACAGTCGCTCAACCGCTGGTAAAACCCAAGACATCAAGAGAGAGGAAAAGTTGAAGCTCAGAGTTGGGGGAACCCAATGACCCCGAAAAGCCTCACGCTGCGATGCCCTTTCGGACACACAAAAATGACCTTGTCATTGAGCCCTGCATGCCCTCAATGGGAAGGTATCATGGCCCACTGGACTCATCACTATTCCGGCAGGCTCGGCAGACCTGACTCTCATGCTCGACATCCTCCATGTCAGCGGCCAAATCCGAGTTGTGCGGAATCCGAACGACCCAGATAGTCTCGATGAAACATCATCAACCACCGGCTGATCCATCACCCGCTATTCCCAGAGTAACTGACTAAGTCAATAGTTTCCCCTGCGTCTTCAGGCAGGGCGGACCTGCAGGCTGCGGGCAATCGGACATACGCGGCTTCAGGCTCAGCTGTGCGTGGGTACCATCCACCTTCAGGTGCGGATACGTGGACATGGCCGAAAGCGGTGGTGTGGGCTTTGCGTGTTCGGCATAGACGACGAGTCCCTGGAGCGGGACCGAGGCCGGGGGTCTGGTGCAATGCGGGAGGCGGGGGCCCGATCCCGATGTACCGGCCCGGGCGGGTGGGCGCCGCGCCCGAAGGTAAAAACTGGACGGTCGCCCACATCACTCTGGGTGCGCGTGAGCGCAGCGAGTGCGTGTCGCTGTTCCTGCGTGCAGCCGGTTTGGCCCTGGCCGCGCGTTGCGGCTGACCATGAATATCTATGCACGGCGTCCTGCTGAGCGTCATGACGCGATTTTCTTGTCAATCCAGAACACCATCTTTTCCTGTTCTCCTCTTCGTATTCCTCTGCCACGATACAACCACCCTCCTTCTGCGAGTCTACCCATTTTTGGGACAATCCTCGAAGAAAAGACCCGCCAAGAAGTGCCGAAGTCTTCAATGCGACTTCACGATGAGCGAGACCGAGCCAGGCCCGGACTAGACCCGTAGCGTACGCGTCTTTTCAATAGTCGCTGTCTGACTTAGCGCCGTGCTGTCTGTCAATCAGCAGTTGATCGTTGCGGATCACGATTGAAGCTATTCCTGGAGTCGATGTTTGCGCAAGCATTCTGTCTCTGGCGTGAAGCTGAGATGCATCGTTCGGATGGGTGGGCGACAGCGCTGCTTCTCATGTGAGTTGCAGTGGACTCTGGCTGGATCGTGCTGATGGGGAAACTATTCCAAAGTTCTTTCCGAACCCCATGGCGGAGTTTCCTTAATCGGAATGTGATCGGCAACCCTGGTTGATCGTGTTCACTCATCTCAGCCAGATTGATCATCTCGACTGACAGTGTCCAGAAATCCCACCAAGTTTTGCTCGCGGACGTTGCAATTTCAACAATAATGATCTGCCCCAGAAACTCGAGAGTACGACAGACTCGCATTTTGCCGCCTGTATCCATCGCCTTGAGGGCTGGAGTACTTGCGACAGTGTCGGACTATTTTGCATACCTCGGGTTCGGCCGGCCGTCTATCTTTGCGCCATCAGATCTTTGTCAACCAGGGGCGAGAAATCAATAGATTCTCGACATTTGCAGTCAAAGTTTCAGGGGCGCCGTTCTTCTTTTCTCTGGATCCGTCGCAACTCTCAGGTTCCAGCCAAAGGGATTATATTTGGAGCTCACTGAATGACTTGCGGAACCCTTTAAATGTCAGTCTTCGGAGACTTATATCTGTCTATCATTACGGACAGATCTAGCACAAGGTTTGGCGAACCCTCGTAAGTACTGTGCATCACTCCGTCGAGGGAATCGTTGACCATGTATCAACCTTAAAGGTCTGTAAACCCTCATCCTCTCGAAGCCCACGCTGTGGGTTATGAAAGCATGACTCGGATTGCCACAGTATGAACATGATTCCTTCGTCCGCCCAAAGGCTGTTGTTCTGATACAGACCTCGCTCTGGCCATCACTTTGTGTTCCCCGGCCTGAAGCTTCAAGCATACTTCCCATCTCTGCCATTCAAATTCCGTCCTTGGAGTAATGCTGGCCAGGTTCCATGACTTTCCTGCATCTGCGCTGACCAAGACTTCCACTACTTCTTCAAAACACCATGCCCAGCCCTCGACCTGCACGTTCGGTCCCCGGCAAACAGCACCAGGTTCCGGTTTCATGATGATTGAGTTGACTTCCACCTTCCACACCGGGCTTTTCTTCTTGCTTTCTGGATCCGTGGGATCAATCTCATTGTAGAATGTCGTCGTATAAGGTCCTTCCGCTCGCCTGTCCTGAAGAGATAAACGGCATAACCATTTGGTCATGTTTGTCCCGAACCAGCCAGGTACCACAAGTCTCACAGGCCCGCCTCGCTCCTTGCCCAATGGCTTACCATTCATCTCGTACGCCACAAGGACTTCTTCATTGAGAGCCTTGGTCAATGGAAGATCCTTTTGGTATCGGTCCGCCGTGATGTCGTGAAAGGTGCCGTAATCGAGTCCTTCAGACCAGACGAATGTGGCCGCAGGTAATGGCCGAGCAAGGTTCAAGAGGAAGGACAGTGGAACCCCAGTCCAGACGACATTCCCAATGCGCCAAACGGCTTCTGTCGGCGGCTTCAAAGGGCTGCTGTAGCACTCGTGGAAAGCCGTCACGGAATGTCGCGGGAGTTGACATAGTTGGTTGAAGGTCAGCGCGAAAGGCCGCTCGACTAGCCCTTCTATGACCAGAAGCCATTCATCCTTGTCAACCACTGCAGCTCCCATGTGTATGGTCTGGAAGAGATGTTCCTCGTGTGTAATGAAGGTATCGAGGAGATGAGGAGGAGGCGGGCGTCGAATGAAGAAGCCGGCGGGGTCGATTGACTGGCATGCATTGCGTTCTCGTCCGTCCGTTGGAGCAATAGAAAGATCCATGCTGGCAGCTTGCTCATGATGAAGCATCTTGAAAGCAGTGGTTCAACTGGTCTTCGAACCGTATGCCTTTGGTCCAACTCTTGCATCTCCCAGCGAGGCCCCGCAGCATGGTTGCGGTCCAAGCCTCCTTATCTTTTCAGACGAGAGGTTGGTGGGAAAAAGTCGTAATCATCAAATAAATCGGGCAAAGTCTTCGAATTGAACGAGATTGTACGGCTCAACTGATTTGGTGAACTTGGCGTTCTTGCGTTGGGGTTTTCGGTGTTTGAAACGGGGGGACTTAAATGACGTGGGCAGTGGAAGCGGCGGAAAGGATGCCGCCCCCAAATCGGGGTCAGAAGAAGCTCCGAATCTGTCAACAGCGCCTTATCAAACCCCGGATTTTAGTAAACTCATGCTCATCCAGGACAACCGTCAACCACTGTTAACCACTTATGCGAGTGCAAGAGAATCCAGCATCTTACGCGACAAGCGACCTTTACAACATCATCGCATCGCAATGGCCACCCCAATCCGCATCGCAGCTTGCCACGTCTCACCCATCTTCCTCTCCGCCCGCCGCACAACCGATAAGGCCATCTCCCTCATCCGTGAAGCTGCCAGAAATAAAGCCAACCTCGTCGTCTTCCCAGAGACTTACATCCCCGCGTTCCCAATCTGGTCAGCTCTGCGGCCGCCAACTGAGAATCATGACCTCTTCAAACGCATGGCGCTCGAGTCCGTCTATGTCGACGGGGAGGAGGTCTCAGCCATCCGGTCTACAGCAAAGAAGCTCGACATTATGGTTAGCGTCGGCATTTCAGAGAAGGTGCGATCGAGCAGCGCGACTCTTTACAACTCCAACGTCATTATTGGCGCCAACGGAGAAGTTCTGGTACACCGCAGGAAGTTGATGCCAACATTTTTCGAGAAGTTGACGTGGGCGCCTGGAGATGGTCATGGGCTCCGGCTGGCAGTGACGAAGTACGGAAAGATTGGAAACCTGATCTGCGGGGAGAACACGAACCCGCTTGCGAGGTATGCGCTAATGTCGCAGGGTGAGCAGATTCACATCTCGACGTGGCCTGCAATCTGGCCTACGAGGATACCAACACCGGAGGCTGGCAAGAGTGACGGGGGATCGAGCGTGGCCAAGGGCGCGAACTACGACAATGTCGCTGCCAACAGAACAAGGGCGGCGGCACACTGCTTTGAAGCCAAGTGTTTCGGAGTTCTGTGCTCTGGCGTTCTTGGGAAAGATGCCGTCGAGATCATATCATCAGGAGCCAGTCAGACTGAAGTTGTCACGTCGGCTCTTGAGAACTCGCAGCGCGGTGCGACGATGTTCTTGGATCCTGCAGGGTCGTTGATGCAGGGGTTTACTGTGGACGCGGAGACTCAGGAGCAGAAGCCGACCGAATATCTGCAGGCTACAGAGGGAATTTTGTATGCGAATATGGATGTTCAGGATTGCATTGAGGGCAAGCAGTATCACGATGTCGTTGGGGGATATCAACGCCTCGACGTGTTTGAGTTGAAGGTTGACCGGAGACGAAGAGAGCCGGCAAACTTCGTCGGTGATGTCTTGACAGTTGATGCAGACGCACTAAAAGACGAGTCCGCGTCTCAATAGCTCAAGCTTTTGACTGAGTATTGTACTGCTTTGAGTCTCAAGATTCTCGACAGCATCCGAACTGCGAGACGCGGCGACGAGTTTCTGAGTGGGCTGAAGGTATAGAGACAAGAGAACAGGATTAGAATTAGTTCATGAGCTTGATTGCCCTCGAAAGTTTTATCACGATATAATAGTAGCATTTGAAAGAGCATGTACGCGGAGATCGAGAAGTGCCTGCCGCGCAACATTAGGCCACATATTCAATACTATTACTACGTACTGCTCCGATACATTCCAAAGGCAGCCAACCCTGTATTTGGAGGATCATATGCATACTGAAGATTATCTCCAAGAAATCATGAGTAACAAGAGATAAGGTAGAAGATGCAAGGTAAAAGACAAGCCTGGCGAAGGGGCTGAGCAAAACCGGACAATCGTCGGACGTCGACGCGAGCAGAGAAAGCAATGAGGTAAAGAAGTACAGCAATATGACCGTGATAGTACGGTTCAAGTAACCTCTTTTGGTATCTTTACAAACTGGCTAGCCCAAAATTACAGCGGAGTCTGTGGCGGGATATCCGCCCTCAAAGCCAACCAGTAGCAGCAGACTTTTCACCGTTCCCAAAACTCTCCCCACAGATAACGCTTCCCCAGATCACCTCGTGTGGACACACAATACCCCGGAGTATCATCGCCAATCAGCTTATACGCATTTTCTGAGGGAGTTCTCTTATCTTGGCGACCGATAGAAGGCGTCGTACTGGCTTCAGACCCTCTGAAGGTCGGAGGAACGGGTGTTTTCACAGCGGAAGAACACTCCATATAAGGCAGGCTGGCCTTCTACATCCTGGGAAGCCTGTTCCTTCTCAATACTCCTTGATATTGACTCACTCTTCTCCTTCACCATGTCACCATCCAAGTTAGCCTCCCTCCGCATGAGCCTGAGCACGGCGCTGGTGGTGTCAGTATGCGTTGTCGACTCCGTCACCATAGCCTACGACGGCTCTCTCATGGGTTCCCTCAACGTAATGGCCTCGTACCAAAAGTACTTTGAGCTCACAACGGCAACGACAGCCGTCAACACATGCGCTACCTTCCTAGGGGCCATCCTCATCGGCCCATTCACGGGGATGCTCATCGACTGGAAAGGCCGCAAGATGGGCCTCTATGCATCTGGTATCGTCAACATTATTGGCGCCATTATCGCCGGCGCAGCAGTAAACATCGCCATGTTCATTGCGGGACGTCTCATTGTTGGCATTGGAGTCGGTTTGGGGCAAACTGCCGCGGGAACGTATGTGGCGGAAACGACTGCGCCGTCCATCCGGTCTCTGGCATTAGGTCTCTACTTCTCCTGTTGGGCTGTTGGAGCCCTGCTTGCGGCCGGGATCTCTTATGGTGTGAGTATACTCATGTCGCACATCTCTCTGTTGAGTTGACTGACTTTCCTCCTAGTCCTCCGCGCTTGAGCCATCGGATTGGGCTTGGAGAGTCCCCTCGATCCTCCAGGCTGCACCTCCTCTATTCGTCATGATCCTTATCTATCTGGCCCCAGAGTCTCCTCGATGGCTTGCCTTTCGCGACCGAAGAGACGAAGCCCTTCAAGTGCTAGCAAAGGTCAACGGGGCTGACGCCAGTGACGACAACGTTCAGATGCAATTCAGAGAAATCATCGAAACATTGGAATACGAGAAGCGAGAGGGGAACGCTTTGGGAATCCGCGGAATGGTTCGGAAGCCCAACCGCAAGCGTCTACTATTGGCCTTATCAGTTGCGCCTCTGGCGATGTTGACGGGATCAAATGTCATCACGTAAGTTTGCGCTTCCTCGTTACTATTAATTAGCTGCCCGGTTCATGACCTGACCGGCGACTTCAGGTACTACTTTGGCCGAATGCTGAGTCAGGCTGGCGTCACCGATCCAACCACGCAACTCCAGATCAATGTCATCCTGTCCTTCTGGCAATTAGTTGTTGCAATCACCGGATCGACACTAGCCGAGAAACTGGGCAGAAGAGTCCTCGCTCTCGGAAGTTTGGGTACCTGCTCAACCTTCTTCTACCTTCTCGCAGGTCTCACGGCCAAGTACGGGACCTCGGGCGACAAAGCTGGCACATACGGCACCATCGCGTGCATCTTTCTGTTCTTGGGTGCATACGCCTTTGGCATTACGCCTTTGGCATTACGCCTCTCACGGCCATGTATGCACCCGAGGTTTTGTCATACAACATGCGCGCGAACGGCATAGCAATGCAGGGGATTCTTATCAAGTCATGCGGTGTCTTGGTCTCAATGGCGTTTCCGTACCTGATGGAGAGCATTGGATGGAAGACTTACATCGTCAATGCGTCGTGGAACATCTTGGTTTGGGTGTATATCTACTTCCAGTGGGTGGAGACCAAGGGTCTGACGTTGGAGGAGGTTGATGTTTTGTTTGATGGGCAGAAGGCTGTTCAGACGATTGAGGAGGGTGTGATGAAGTCAGCTGCAAGGACCATCTCGTGAAATTTGAGTCGTTGGAGAGCTCTACGTTCTATCCCTACCTCGAGCGAAATGTTCAACTCTGTTTACTTAATTAATGTCTGGTTTCGAGATGTCGATGGTGCGTGCTTACACTCATTGGCGTGGATACCGGCGTTCGGGGGCGATTGACAGTCCGACTTGGACGCAAGGCGCGTTTGTCACCAGCTCAGTAATGTATCGAGTTTGCAAGATCTCTGCTGTTGCCAAACTTTCTTGCATTTCATAGATCTTTTAGATCTTCATATTGTCTTTCAAACATCCCAAAAAGGCAATTACCCAAATGAGTCACGCCCTTCTGACTGGCGCCCTTCGTCCCAAGTCATGTTCACTAGGTGATCTTTGCAATCATCCGGGCGCCACAAAGTCAAGCATTTACCGGGACTAGACCGGGAAACGCTCCACATTAAGCTGCGAAAAAGGCGGAAGTGGTCCCGCCGATCCCGCCCGAGAAGCGCCGCCCTTCCGCCGCACAAGAACTGCCATCCTCCCATCAAACCCCGGGAGTCATCTCTTCTCAGACGATACATCACACGAAAGAGTCCCATATCACAGAGAAGTGTGATCATGGAGACTCAGAAGCGGAAGAGAACCGCCGTCGCCTGCCATTATTGCCGTCGAAGGTGAGTTTACACTGGCGGAACCCGATCCCGCTGCCACCCGCTGCAACACCATGCGCAGGCGGATGCTCGATGCCGCCGTCGACACACATCTCCTTCCTCTCCTGTTCAGTGAACTCTTTGAGTAATTAGGCGGAAGTGGTGACTTATCTCCGCGATACCCAGGAAACGCAAATGCGACGGCAGGCAACCCGTCTGCACCCTCTGCGAGGAAGCCAACAATTCAGAGTGCGAGTATCCTGCCACGGAAGAACACAAGTAAGAAACCCTACGCAAGCAAGTCACCCACTGAAGAAAGGGGACCTTTCCCGCTGTGAGGCTGACTTGCCACATGACCCAGAAGACCAATCTCCGTAGACCAGACAGCCGAGATCCTCTCCCGTCTGCAACGCCTCGAACAGTCCTTCACACACTTCGCGTCCCTTCCGCCAACATCCCACCCTCAGCCAGATGACCACTACACCCCGACCTCACACACATATCCACCGCCATCCCAGAACCCATCCCCAGAATCCGCCTTCCCGTCCCCAGGCTACGGACCTCTCTCAGTCGACCCGTCGCTCCACATCCCCTCTGCCGCCGCGACCCCCGCGGCGCCCCCGACGGAACCATGCATCACCGCGCCCATGGCAATCCCCATGTCCCACTCGACCACCACAGGGAGCCTCCTGCAATCGCGTTCCGCCAAAGCGCTGCTCGGCGACTACCCCTCCGACGTGTTCCTCCGCGTGGAGAGCAAGAGGTCCCTCCCTGAGCCGCTGTCCCTGACCCGGATACCCCTGAGCCAGATCGTCTTCGCCGAGATCAATGCGGAGGAAGCATCGTCGTTGGTCGATAACTTCTTCGATCTCGTGAACCCGCAGCATCCCATCCTCGACAGGGGAGATTTTGAGCCTATCTACCGAGATGTCGTGGGGAGCCCCTTGCAAGCTGACCTGCGTTCTGCTTTGGTGCTGGTCGTCTTGGCTCTGGGGCGAGCGGCTGTCGACACGCCTGATCTGACGCGAAATGGTTGGCTACCTGGCGTGGAGATGTTCACGCCCGCGTTGCAGGTGCTCCTAGGAACGTGGTTTAACTCGTTTGGGGATACTATACTGCTCCCGCAGAGCTTGTATCTTGTTGCGCTGTACTACAGCTACCTCTGGAGACCGCTTCAGGCATGGAGGTTGGTTCACATGGCGTCGACGAGTATACAACACTATCCCATCCGGTGAGGCGTCGTCCTAGTTGTCACCACCTGATGGGCAGCTGCTAATATGATCCTTAGACATAGGAGTATGCGTCAACCCTTGGAAGAAACCCACACCCACCAGCCCGTAACCCGTCTATGCTGGGCCATCCTCGTCCTCGAATGGTACATCCCAAATCAAAACAACCCCCCGCCTCCTGGTATCCATGCTGACCTTGTATTCCCAGCGACATCATAGCCGAACACCACCTCCCCCGAAGCGGCATCGACCAAGTCATCGAAAACCTCCCCTTCCCCCGCTGCGGCAACCCGCCCGACCCCGCCATGCTCTCCTGGCTCGGAGACCTCTCCGCGCGCCGCCTGCTCAACCGCATCCACCACGTAATGTACGACACCGCCTCCCCGACCCCAAAATCTGCCAGCGCGGCGGACGCCTTCGCATCCGTCTCCGCGGAGCTGAGCCACCAGCTCGGCGCGTGGTATGACCTGCTCCCATCCGCGATCAAGCCCAACCTGCATACCGCGAGCGGGACCGCGCTGAGTGTGGACGAGGCGATTATGGTGTTGAGGTACCATGCTGCGGGGGATATCATCTTCCGCCCGTCTTTGCACCAGGCGTGTGGGATGGAGGGCGGGGCGGGGCCGGGTGAGGTGGTTGTTGAGAATGCGAAGCGGTGTTTGGGGCATTGTAGGGGGTATTTGGATGTGGTGGAGTATATGTTGAAGGGGTCTTGCGGGTCGTTGGAGATTGTGCTGCATTCGTAAGTCTGGAGGTTCCTGCGTTTTGGTCGTTGGGGTTGGCTAATTCGGTGTGGGCAGGACGCTCGCGGTGATTTTGCTGTTGACGTTGGCTTCGTTGTCGCCAGTCCTAGCGGAGACCGTGCCGGATATTGATGAACTCCAGATCAAGGCGATATCCTTGATTGAGAAGTGGGCGTTCCCGGGGTCGAGTATAGAGAGCATGTTGTCTATTCTGCGAACAATGAGGTCCAAGTATCAGATACTCTACTAAAATTCGAGGATGCTCTCTGGAAGCCACCCAGGGTACTATCTATTCTACAGTGATTTCGACTTCAGCTACGATGTCTCGGGAACTCACTCCGACGAAGCACTTGTAGATGCCGCGGTCAACCCTCCATTTCCCACCGGACCCCGGACCCCCTTTCCCCGCGACATCGAACCAAGCAACCGCCTTCGCGTCAAGATGTATGGCCAAAGACTTTGACTCTCCAGGGCGGAGCGCGACTTTCTGGAATCCAGCAAGGGATTTCGGGGCAGAAGGACGGCCATGCTCCTTGATCGCTGGCGAAGAAGAGACGTAGACTTGTAGGACCTCGCTACCCCAGATGTCGCCAACATTCGTGGCCGTGGCGGCAATTGAAGCATAGCGGTCGCCGGTGGCGGAGATGGTGCCCTTGACCGCAATATCGGTGATCTGGAACTTGGTATAGGACAATCCATATCCAAAAGGCCACAAAGGCTCTGTCCCTTGCTCGTCGAACCAGCGGTACCCAACCAGAACACCCTCTCCGTATTCCGCATAATCATTCTCCGCGTCACCAGGAAACCACTTGTGCGATCCATGGTCTTCGATCCTCTTAGGAAAAGTCAGCGGCAGCTTCCCGGAAGGATTGACCTTGCCGAAGATCACGTCCGCAATGGCGTTCCCGCACTCCTGCCCTTGATACCACGCATGCACAATCGCAGCGGGCCCATCAACCCACGGCATGGCCACGGCACATGCAGACTGCGTCACCACCACCACGTTCGGGTTAACAGCCGCGACCGCAGCAACCAGCTCGTCTGTCCTCCGCGGCAGCGACAGCGAAGTGCGATCCGATCCTTCGCGCTCTGTGTCGTTATTATGACCGACAACAAGCACAACCGCATCCGCGCCCTCCGCCGCAGTGACCGCGTCGCGAAACATCTGTTCCTCGTTGTGTCGGAAGAGCATTCCCACGCGGACGCCCGAGATCTTGTGGAAGAGCGTATTGTCGTGGGGCCTCGTTGGCGGCGGCCCGACGAGGTTGTCGACGCGCAGGCGGTACGTCTTGCCCGCCTCTAGCTCCCTGCTCGCAAACACCTCGACGCTGCCGCAGTTCATGAAGTTGCCGCTGATCTGCGTCCAGTCCGAGTTATCGATGACCAGCTCGTCGTCGATGAAGAGCTTCGCTTTGCCTGTGTTGGAGAGGCTGAAGTCGTAGGTCCCTGTGGCGCTGGGGCGGAGGAGGCCAGTTGCTTTGTAGGTGTAGATTGTTCCGCGCAGGGAAGGGGGCACGTCGCCGTCGGACATGAAGTAGACGAGGGAGTTGTGCCAGTCGGAGGAGGAGATGATGTTGCCGGAGAAGGTGTTGTCTGAGTAGAAGTCGACGCGGAGGCCGGGTGCGCCTGTGAATGGGTTCGTGAGGCCGTCACCGATCAGGGGTGGTTGGAGGTGCGTGAAGACGCCGCGGTGGTGGGTGATTTGGATGTCTGGGGGGTTGGCAGACTTGGCGGCGTCGCTAATGGAATCGAAGGGTGTGGTGATGTAGTAAGGGTTTACGATGGCGCTGCCAGTGCCGCCTGTTGTCGGGGTTTTGGCGCTGGGTCCGATGATGGCAAGGGAACGGAGCTTGGAGGGCTTGAGAGGGAGGATGCCGGTGTTCTTGAGGAGGACAATGCCTTGGGAGGCTGCCTGTCTGGCCGTTTGGCGGGATTCGGGAGTGTCCGACTCGCCTTCGTTGCCTTCTGTACCCGCATGGATGCCGTTTGTGCCATTTTGTTGTGGGCTGTCGAGTAGCTGAGCTCGTGCAAGGAGACGAAGGAGTCTTTCGACAGACGGGTTGATGTGTTCTTCTTCGGAGACAGCACCAGATTCGACGGCTTTCAGCAAAGCTTTTCCGTAACGAAGTGGAGGTCCTGGCATTTCCAGATCTGTGGTCGCGCGAATGCTGTCGACGGTCGAGTTCAAGCCTCCCCAGTCGCTCATCACCAGCCCATCGTATCCCCACTCCCGTCGCAAGATATCATAAACCAGAAAGCGGCTGGTGTCAGCGTGTTCGCCGTTGATCTTAGGATATGCTGTCATCACAGTCCAGGGATCCACTTCCAAGGCCATCTCGAACGGTTTGAGGTAGATCTCTCGCAGCGTCCGCTCGTCAATCTGCTCGTCCATGTTGAAGCGTCTCGTCTCCATGTCATTGGCGACGTAGTGCTTCATACAAGGTCCCACGCCCTCGCTCTGCACCCCCTCGATGTAACTGCTAGCCATGACGCCTGTGAGGTACGGGTCTTCGCCAAAGTTTTCAAAGTTGCGGCCGCCAAAGGGCGAGCGGCTGATGTTCATGGTCGGTGCGAGTAAGACGTGGGCTCCTTTGGTCTTGGCCTCGCGGCCGAGGATCTTGCCGACTCGTTGGATGAGATCTGGGTCGAAGGTGGCCGCGAGAGAGATGCCACAGGGGATGTATGTGGTGTGAGTCCCGTCAGTCCATCGTGAGCCGCGGACGCCAGCCGGACCATCGCTTGTCTTGAGGCTGCGGATGCCGAGGCGGGGAATATCTGCGGTTTCCCACATGTTCTTGCCGGATAAGATGGTGCATTTTTCTTCCAAAGTAAGGGACTGGATGATCTTGCAGTTGCTGTCGTTCATGTTAGGCCTTGGTGCCTCCATAGCTGCGTTGATGGCCATCTCGAGGAGAATGGGTCGCACGAAAAGGGACAGTGGTTGTCTTAAATGACACCCAGCTCGGCTCTGACGTGTGATAACATGTTGAATTCAAAATCGAATAATATTGTTCTATATACAGTTGTTACTGCGGTCAGCGAAAAAGAGCCCTCGCACGTTGACGGGTACTGCATCTGGGGTTCAAGGTGAGCTTGACGGGACAGACTCCGCCGTAGGATGCCGCAGAGGCGCCATGTCAGGCGGAAGCAAGCCGCCTAGCCATCGACGAAGAATGACAACTCGCATGATCATGGGCGGTCTGGGCGGTCAGCATCTCGTCGCGTTTGGGGCTGGAGGAAGCGAAGCGGAAAGAAGCGGGTTTTCCGTCGCGACCTCAGGAGGACCAGCACCGGCTTCTCCGACCCACTTCTCTCTAGGATTCGGGCGAACAGCATCCGAGTCACGTGGATCAGCTCGTGTACCCGCGTCAAGGTCGCATTCGAAGGCCCGTGCATGAGAAGAGCAAGGCCCGTGCGTTGGAGCTCGTCATTGAGCTTGGGGGCGTGGGGAACCCGGAAGGCGTGGAAAAGGGAGGCAACTGCCGCTTGCGATCCAAAGTTTAATCAGAGCTCCTGCAGTTCTTATCTTTCTCTGCTTGCGGCGGATGATCTTTCCAAAAAGCCATTTCCCAGCTTCCCCTCCTTCAGAATAACTTCCAATTCGAGCGATCTGCCTCACTGCTGCGTTCCCAGAACATTCCTCCTTTTCGCTTACATTCCCGACCCTCGTCCCTGCTGAAGACATCGTCATCACGATCGGTCACCATGGGTGCCCCCACTGCGACCCCGCCATCGGCAAGCACCAGCTACGGATACACGCCGACATACACGCCGCCTTATCGGACTCCCCAAAGCGCCTCCAGGAACACCTTCTCAGCGTCCACCCCGACACCTTCATCGTTGGGAAAGCGGAAAGCTGCGGCTGCCAACGATGGATCCCCTGAGAAGAAGAAACCGAAGAAGGATCCCAACGCCGAGAAGCGATTGCGCCGCTTCCGCCCCCGGCCGCCCTCAAACTTCAGCGACGTCTACAACAGAGCTCTGACGCAGAGGTGATCTCCATCGGTCTTGACTTGGGGTGATCCTACTGACTTCTGGTCGTAGATTCTATGTACTCGAGCGACGAAGATGCGGCACCGATGAAGTTCCAGAAGAAGGAGTCGAGTTGACTGGTTCCACGGGCAACATCTATACCGTTAAAATTGCCCAGCGTCCCACGTGCACCTGTCCTCACTTCCTTGCCGGTAACCAGTGCAAGCACTGGCTCTATGTACGCAGCTCCCATCCCTATGTCGCAAGCGGCTCTAACAGTTGCAGGTCATGTCCCGGGTCCTCCGCGCCAAATTCGAGCATACTTACCAACTTGCCCTCCTCACAACCGAACTCAAGGAGATCTTCGCCAACGCCCCGCCCATCGACAAGCCCTCCGATGCTACACAGGATAAGAACCGAAAGCCCGTCGAAGGCGACTGCCCCATTTGCTTCTGCGAACTGGAGGCCGAGGGTGGCGAGGCAGTCGTCTATTGCCGCGCTGCTTGCGGTCAGAACATCCACAAGGAGTGCTTCGATACTTGGGCTGCGACGAAGCGTAGGAGCGGTTCGAACGTGACGTGCCCATACTGTCGCAGCGTGTGGGAGAACGACACTGTCGACATGGTGAAGACCATCAAGAAGAATGGCCAGGCGACGTATGAAGGCTATGTGAACGTGGCGGATCAACTGGGCATCAGCACTCAAAGAGGTTTGTCATCTTGAGATGCCAGCTTCAGGACTGGACTAACACACGACTACAGATCACAGCACCTACTCGAGATGGTGGAGAGGCTCGAGATATTATTAAAGCCGATTCGCCCCGCAACTTTGCTATATGTGTTCGGCTGTTTACGGACCTTCACCCAGGTGCTTCGATTCTTTTCGGGTCGCAGAAGGTTTATTGGCGTTGATTCAAGGCGAAGGGAATGCGAATTTGTGACGACGATAGATACCCATTAGCAGGCTGCTACTTTCAGCCAATGAATTGATGATACATAGTGGATCAATTTACTGAGCCGCATAACAGTCGTTGCGTTGATGAGGAGGCCTCTACCCATGAGTGTTCGGAAACATGAACCAGCCATCAGCAGATCCGTTACTGGCAATTTCCCGGATAACTGGTTGCCTGTCATACGTGCCGCAACAAGGACCAGCTTCATCATTGGACATGTATGCTTTTTTTCGATTACGCTATTTTACAATGCGAGGTAATAAGCCATCATAGTACTGGGCTAGCAATGACACATCACGCATTTTACTGGGTCCTCTTCTCCCTCTCGGCCTTCATCTTCTGGTCCTCCTCCTCCGTCTTGGGAACCTTGACCAACGTCGGCACCGTAACAGCATTCAGCTTCCGCAAAGCCTACCAAACCGTTAGCACACATCCACGCCCCGCATCGAAAAACCCCCTTACCCAAAAGGGCCGCAACAACATCACCCGACAAAACAAAGCCACGGCGCCCTCCTTCCACAACCACGCCACCGTCCAAAAGGCCTTCGAATACGACTCTTGAAAAGCGTCACGTACCTGCGAAAACGCGCCCTCGGGCAGCTCGTTGTCCCACTTGTCGCTGACCTTGGCGATCTTGCCGTCGGCGCCGACCTCGATCTGCACGGTGCTCTCCATCGTCTGCTCGCTCTTGACGCCCTTAACGGTGTACGTGTTCTTGAGCTTGAACTCGATGGGGTTGCCGGCGGAAGTGACGGTGTGCGACTGGATCCGGATCGGGTCGAAGAGCGCGGGCAGGCCGTACCACTGCGCGGCGAACTTGTCGTAGCCCTCGGCGATGGTGATGTTGTCCTGGAAGGTGGCGGTTTTGGACCAGAGGGAGAGGTGTTTGAGGGTGGGGTTTCCCTCAAAGAGCTGCAATGGTGGTTAGCACCTTGAGCGGTGGGTTTGCCAATGAGGAGGCGGGGGAGTTTACGTCGAGAACGCTGCCAACAAGGACCTTCTGCTGGTCGGACAGCGAGACGCCTGACTTTTGGACAATGTCCTTGTTCTTGATCCCGATTGACTCGAAGGAGGGCGCGTTGGCGGACGCGGAGGCTTGCGCCTTTGCGGTCTCGGAGGGGGTTCCGGTGGACATGTTTGCTTGGGCGCTTTTGGCGAGGGACTTGGCTTGAGGGGTCGAGAGGATTTGTTTTGCGAGGCGGGCTGTTGAGGGCATGGAGGCGGTGGTGCGATGGGAAGAGAAAGATTGAAGCAGTCAAAGTGAAAGAAAGGTAGCTCGGTTTATGGAAGTTTTGCTGCGGTAAGGACTTTGACCATCGGGGTGTGTCGCGCATTGTCTTGGTCGCGTCACTGGCTTAAGAGGCGTGGTGATGATGGTGGGTGACGTCATGACTTGGATTTGGGGACGGTCTGGGGGTTTTGCTCCGGCTTGGATCGGATGAGGAGATGCCATTTCGGGATTTTTATGTCCATATGAGGAGTGAAGCATTTCTGGTGGTGTTGATGTAAGTCTTGGTGTTCTTGTCGGCCGATAGGTTCCGGTCTGGTCGGCGCAAATATCGGGGTGCGGCCGGGGATAGACCCACAGTTCCCACCCGCATCCGCGCCGCCTGTCGCCGGCCTGGATACTCCCTCAGTCCACTCGTAAACTCACCTGCGCGACTATTCTTCTGGAAAATAAATGCGAGAGACTCGGAGTTTTCGCCGGTGCTCAATCGCAAATGAATCTTAACATTCAGTCCCATGGTACTAGCGCCCTCGATGTACTCCGCCGAGCTCGGGGTGCGGACGAGTGTGGGTCAATTCTTTCCACCCGTGCCGCGTCACCGATCCTGCCGCATGGTGGCCGGCTAGCCAGGACATCCGTCCGTACCACAACTCATCAGTAATTTGGAACATCGAAAGCCCAAACGAACAAAATCATTAAGCCGGGTTTCACAACGCGGGTGAGTGAGACAGATAGGCCGATCGGTCTCGATCGTCAATTCGGCCACCAATTGTGAGAACGCTGATTATGGTAGCCTATCATGACGCTTGTTCGACATGGACACATAGCAAAGGCATCGTCACTGAGGATTCAACAATTTTCGTCTGCTGCGTTAAACATTCGGATTTTCCGAGAGATTGTACACACCCATCCAAAACATTCATCAGTCGGAGGTTGCACGCAACCCCAGCCATCTCCCTGTCTCCGATGCAAAAGACGGCAGGTGACGGCGCCGGGCGATCACGGCAAGCTCGGAGAGTAAGCTTCTCCATCCTCGACCCATAAATAGCTCCAAAATAACACCATCGTTGCCGCTGCATTGACGTCACCCACCTTGTCGCGTGAGCCAAATGTTACTGGGTGGAGAAGTGTCAAGTTACGATCGGCAAAACCTGCCAGGCCAAGTCAACCACCAGACATTTTCGACAAAATCAGCGAAGCGCAGGAAGTGCGAGAGGCTTGTGGGAGCTCACGATGTCAATGACTTCAGATTGTTCACAACCAAAAATCCTGGTCGACATAGGTACCTATGGTGTATTATGGCTACTCAGCCGTTCAAGCTCAACAACATGCACATTGCCGGGCTCACACCGTACGACCACAAACAACAGCTCGGCACCTTAAGCTTACCTCATCTCATAACTTACCCTCTGGCCATGTTTCCATCAGAAACGGTCGTTGAACATCCAAAGATCATCGCCATAGCTGACTCATGTAACGACGTTGAGAGCCATGCTCACCAGAGGCTGGACGGTGGAGCTCACACCCGCACGCTATCGAACTGTACGTCGTCGATCGTATCTTGGCGGCATAAGTGGCACGTTGGAACTTGCAAGGTTGTGGTTGAATAGCCGCAGCCGATGCTGTAATTTTCCCCGTTGACGCGAAGATCAGGAACACGATGGTGACCTTGTCAGCAAACTAGACAAGACGATCGCGTTTTCAGATAAACTTTAACCGTGTCCCCCTGTTCTAAGGCCGAAATGTACGAAAGTCCGCGGTTGCGGATCGACTTCGCTGTGCCATCCTGGTTATCGGGCGCCAACGCGCGGCTGTCAAGCGCCATGCAGAGAAAGCTGTTCTCTGAAATAGCATCTCTGCAATACGTGAGTGAAGATCTGAGCGTTTCTCAGGTGATGGGAAGGCCCTGGGGGCATCAGATTAGGAGTTGCCCCAAGCTCTCAGCAGGGTGAGGCGGCTTGATGTCTCCAGGGCTGAAGCCATTCGCCCCGGTGGTTACCCCACGTGCAGCATGTCGTGTTGCTGGGATTCTGTGGAGAGGATTGGAGTCGCAATGACTCGGCGTTCAACATCAAGGTATTGTGACCCAAGGCGTTCCAGCTTTTGCGCGAATAGCCGTGGTGATGAGCAGGAGGAATCGGAATGGTGGAAAATTACTTGTCATTCCCGAAATCCATACTCTCTGGGCTCTGGTTCTGGTATTTTTTCGCTCTCGAGTTGTGAAATGAGAGAAAGATAGTAATCACCGATTGATGTGGGCGTGGGCGTTTGAGACGTTCAAAAGCGTGTGTCGTCATCGGCTAGACGGGTAGCCCACAGTGTTTAAATTAGCTTCCCGAAATGAGGAAAATTGATCTTGCACATCTAGGCCTGTGCCACATGGATCCGTGAAATTGGCCAGGGAACAACTTCCCACGATCATCACGTTGTCGGCGAAGAAAATGAGGAGGCCTCACGCGCGCCGCGTTTGATGTTTTCTCGTAATGATTTGATCAACTAGGTACTTTGAAGGAAACGGAAGACTGCTCTGAAAAGTCATGCTACAGTATTGACATGGTCATTGACGCCCCTTTCCCTCTTTCTTGAGTATATTGGAATGATTTCAGTTAGCCTCAGCGCCTTGTGCACCGCACTTGTTTTCGCAATAGTACGTGAACTCATCGCCACCAATGTGCCAAGCCTCAGAATTGCAGCCGAGGCCGTCCTGAAAAAACATATTAGGTGAGTGGAAAGCTAGACGAAGGGGAAGACGGCTCACAAAGGTGCAATCAGGGCACGTGTCCCATTGGTTGCTTCCAGTATTGCGCGCCTTGTACATGTCGCAAGCACACTTGGTCTCGTCGGGCAAGATCTCGTAGTTCTTGACCCAGTTGTAGCTGGGACTGAACGGAGTGCCACCAATGGGGTTGTTCGTTCTGTCTTTGACGCACACGGCAGTCTTGTGGAGGTCGGCGAAGACGCTATTGGGAGTCAATACACGTGGCCAACGAAGAAGGAAGTTGAGGGACGAACCCAGCTGCAAGGAGAACCACGGCGAGGAGAGAGGAGGTCTGCATCTAAGAAACTGATAATGAGTCGTGAACAGATAGCTCAAAGGTGAGAGTCAGTAGGGACTAAAGAAAGATTGACGAGATAGGCTGGTCAACGGTTGAGGTAGCTACAAGAGAGCTGGGACGGGTGCTCAAATACAAGAATGATCTACGCGTTGGATTGGGAATAACATGATATCCAACTCTTCCAACAAAGTCCAAAATTGCCCTTCTCATTGAAGACTTACAGCTGCGGTCGCGGACGCTCATCTTTCCTTCCTAAGCGTGATCAATCTATTTGCAACCAACTATCGAAGTGCATTACTCAAACCGTGAAGCACTCGTCCAACATCAACACGATGTTCTCGCGCAAAAGGTCTCGTTTTTCTTGCAGATACCCACTAGTTCAGCTTGATCGATGTCAGTAGTTCATCTCATGATGCACGCTGAGTCGTGTGGTATGGAGAACTTCGAACGATCGCTTGCCTGTTCGGGTAATCGTCTGTGCCAAAGATGGAGCATATCTGGGTCGGCCCACCACGTCGGTGAATTGTTGCCGACGGGTCGGAAGCTGATCATAACTCGTTCAGTTATAGACATCAGCCTGGGGAGAAGGTCTGCCTCCCATGGTATGGTTGGGTTGGTGGTTGGCTGCTTCTCAACCCAATTATCTGGAGCCTGCACCATGACTCGCTGGGATGGCGCTGCAACCGACCTCGTCGTCGGATGAACTCCACTGCCCTTGATGATTGAGCCGAGTTCGAGTTTCATTCGATAATCTGTGTAAGTGGCATTCTAAAGGACCGGTGGTGATGGCATACTATCGATATGTCGTTTCGAGCTGGTGCCTATAAAGACGTGATGCTTGCCCTCAGCTTGCGAATTCTCATCATCTCAACATCCCCATCTTCTCTCCTTCCATCGTTCTCAGCATCCCAAATTGAGTTATCTTTGTCGGCACAATGGTTTCTGCCAAGCTCATCACCGTCCTCATGGCCACGGCCGCAAGTGCCGCTCCTCACTTCGCCTTGCGAAGCCAGTATGGGAATGGCACTAGACGGTCTGTTGACCATGCGCTGGCTGGCGATGAAATGCTAGTTTACAAGAACGGGAATCGTATGTCATATTATTGTCCAGTCGCCTTCAAACATTTTGCATCTTATCGCAGACTTATCAAACTAACGTCCTACAGTGGAGGTCGTCAACGAGAAGCAATGGCTCGCGATCCTCGAGAGCGAGGGCATCAACCCGGAGACCCCCAAGTTTCCCCAAGAATGGCTCGACAGCGCCAACCACCTTGCACCCACTCCATTCAACGAAACCTCCGACTCCAACCTTCACACTCGGGACTGCTCCAACACTTTTTCCATCACAACCGACAAGACGGAGCGTTTCGTCAACTGGGATGTACAAATGGCTCCCGTCGTCATTGGCTTTGGCAAGGGCATCGATGTTTCCGTCGCCTCTTCGTACTCGGTCGCGAACAGCGTATCTGGAAGCGCTGGAATTGACATCACGGCCATCAAGGACCGTCTGGGTGCAAGCTTTGGCGTCGACTACACCCGCACTTGGACGACAACGGCTACCACTACGGTGCGCGGTACCATTGAGGATGGCTGGACTGGTACTGTCATTACCCGTCCCTGGGTGAACCGCCGGTCCGGCCGTACCTTTCAGGGATGCCCGGGCTCGCTGAAGCAAACGGGCACGTGGATCGCTGATTCGTACGAGGAAGGCTCCTATGAGGGTGTGAAGTGGGTTGCTGGAGCCATTACCGTTTGCGCCAAGCAGCAGAAGGGCATTCCTCTGTCTCGTTGCAATGGTGAAGGAGACTTCAAATGAGAGGTTACGCGGTAATTGAATCGCTGCGGTGCAGGCCAGAATAAGGAAGTCTCATTTTGACATCCCTCAGGGCGGTCTTCAGAGCTACCAGAGTGACCAGGTTGAGTGGGATTGAAGATACCCACAGTCGCTGACTGACGCATGCAATTAAATAGCCTTACGACTTATGCAGAACGGCATTCAGGTTGGCTGGTGTGCCCCAATCAATTGGTGTGCGTGATTCAGCATTAATATGCGTTGATTCCTTCGTTGATGGTCATCTGTAGATTTCTTTGGCAGTGCTAGTCTAAAGCCTCCACGACAATAAGCATCAAATGATCTCGTCCTCGATCCGAGAGAGCAATGTATCGTGGAAGGCCCCATCTGCTTTCGTCTCGAGATCTCTGAATCAACGAAGACCTTACGCCCTGTTGCCAAGACAGACTAGACCCCTAAAGTGGTGAATGGCCAGGCTTCGCAGCGGCGCAGCAGTCTCGAAGACGCCTAATTCCCACAGTGGCCGCCAAAGAGATTGCTCGGATTGGTGGGGAAACCTCACATCTCACAAGCCGGGCGCGAGGCATTGTAGCACATGACACCATGGCCTTCTTGTCGAAGCGCCTGCCCATGAGCACAGCCTACATATGCCTGACGCCACTTTTCTACTTGCAAGGCGGACCCCGAAGGCGATATTCTAACGGTAGATAAAAGAGGTAAAATAAGCTTAGAACCACTTCAACGATCTTCCATCTGAACTCAAAGCAAAAAGAATAATTTCTAATCGAAAAAACGATCGACAGAAGACCATCATGGGTTTTGTATGATCTTGTGCCCTTAAACACACCAGAGCGAACGGTGAGCTGACAGCGATTAGTTCAGCTCCGTTGGACGCGGGCTTGACAAGTTCGCAATGTACACAGTAAACAGTGTTGGTATGTGAAACACATTTTACCTGCAGCGCAGTCGCACTCGTTTGTGTTCCCAATAACATCTGATTGATAAATAGCCACAAACGCCCCGCAGAACCAGGGAATCGTCGTTGGTGACATTCCTCCTGGGAACATGCCCTCCAAGGGTCACCGACCATGCCCTGAGCACTTGTTGCCGAAAAAGAGCGAAAAGGCTTCGGTGCAAAATGAAGCCGCCTCTCAATCGAAGGTTGTGGATTCAAAGGTTGTAAATAATATGCTTGGATAATCTTGTGGTGCAAGGTGCTCGTAGAGAATAGAGCCTTCCACCCGTCTGGTGTTTTGTCATCTTATCGTACATGAAGCTTGTGCACGTTGGCTGGTTTTCTCTCCGCAGTTGTCCAGGGGCCCAAAGTTGTTGTTTGTCAGCACTGCAAGGGCTCAATGTGAGTCACTCACGTCATCCCGATTTTTTGCAAGCATCTGTCCTTGGTCTCTCCGCCGGCTTTAAGACGCGGATGCAGTCAATGCTTCAAAGTTAAGGTCGTCTCAAGAGGGGGCATCACATCATTGACCAATCACTAATCGGCCAGCTTACGAATCAACATTGAAGTTAGGCCGGTCGATGTTATCTTCCAACCCGTCATGTGCAAATCACTGCTAATTCCACCAAATGGGAACACGGCTCCTATCTGGATGTTGTACCATTTGGTTCGGCCAACACTGCAAGAGAATATATCAGCGGCATATCATGACATGATTACCCTCATTTAGGCGTTGGCGATCACCTCCACGCTGCTCGTAGGTGCCCATGAACAGACTTGAATGGTATTTGAACCTGCCTTCCGCGCTTTCTATTGTCGAAAGGTCAAAAGTTGAACAGAAGCTCCAGCTTCAGCAACAGCAACGCAATATCCAATCCCCGCCCTGCAAACAACAAAATCGCCAGACATGGCGGCCAGTCAAGATAACACCAAAGGCTTTTTCCCATTGGCCGGCGTCGCTACTGATGGTTGGTCCAATGAAGATGAAGCAACAGCCACATGCCTTTGTGGTGCCGTTCAGCTCGCTTTCGTAAGTCCTGGCAAAGCCTCGCAATGCGGCTTAGAATATTTACTGACCAACTGCTACAGCCAACACATGGGCCAGGCCTCATCAGTAGATTCCTCTGCCACTGTGCCGACTGTCGCAAAATCAGTTCATCGATGTTCTGCTCCAACTTTACCGTTGCCGACACTCACCTACGCCACCTTCGAGGCAAGGAAAACCTGAAATCTTTCACCCAGTCCAAGACCATTGCCACGGGTAACGATATGGCCAACCACTTCTGCAGGAATTGTGGAACCCTCCTGTACCGTGTCTCTTCGGGGTTGCCGGGAATGAGTATCCTGCGCCTCGGCACTGTCGATGACTTCAGTTTAGTCGAGAAGAAGTTAAAGCCGCAGGTAGAGCAGTTCATCGACACTCGGGCGAGTTGGCTTCGTCCGGTAGATGGAGTCAAGCAGATGAAGGAGATGCATACGCCAGAGGATGTTGCGGGAATAGAGTAGCAAGAGAATTGTCAATTGGCAGGCTGAAACTTGCTTTATGATGCTATACGCATTGTCCCTTTTTTGATCAGTGCTTCTGGCTGTTGTTGTCTGTAGGCTGCCCTAAGACGAACTCCTCAGCGACAGGGCGTAGCGCGTGTTCTCGTCCAAGTCTTCAGCCGGGAGCCCCAGGCGATCTCCGTTAGACTCAAAGTCTGCATCTCCGCTGGGAAAGAAGACCCGAGCATACATCGACCTGTAAAAGCCCTCCGGCTTCCCCCTCTGCATATCTTCCATGCCAGCCTTGTAGCGCGCCTCGGTTGGTTCGAAGTAAATCCTCCAGTCGTCGTCAGTCGTGCCCGTGGCTCGCTTCACACTGTCAAACATCTCTCTCTGGCTGATTTTGAAGCTTGAAACGAAGAGAGTACTGTTGTGGAACTCGGAAATCGTGGTCGACTTGTCATCTTCGTCTTCGGGAAGTACTTTCAAACTGAGAAGTGAAGCAACTGCGCGTCCGCACTGGACCCAAGTTGACGTGTTGATGGCCTTCTTGCCGTCGTCGTAAAACGTGATGATGCGGTTGTCGAGATCGAACCCAAAGGTTGCAGGACCGGCAATGAGGCTGTACTCGTACCAGAATCCGTTCATCAACGTAATCGATGTCATGCCGGCCTGTTGAATCTCGGCGATGTTTGCTAGGACCGTGTTCCCAACAGGAATGTCTCGTCGGAGATTCTCGCTGGTTGCGAAATTGATGCTGTAGGCGTTCGGCATCACATACCTCACTCCCGCCTTTGCCGCGGCCCTGACCAAGGCACTGTGGGTTCCCGGCGCCGCGCTTAGGGAAAGGGTAATTACCAAGAAATCCTGGCCTTTTAGAGCGTCGATTAGAGATTCCTCGTTGTTGTAGTCAACAAATGTCTTCTCTAAACCTTCTGGCAGCGAGTTGCTGCTTCCGCTGCGCGTGATAGCTGTGACTCGGTGCTTTCCTGTTCTTAGAAGTTGCACTGCAATAGCTCTGCCTATTTGCCCCCCTGCCTCGAAAGATGTTAGTATTCAAAGCCCAATGGTCGCTAGAGAGTCACCGACGAACTTACACCAACAACTGCAACATTCTCAATCGAATTACGGAACCCTTCGGGTGCATCTCTCGCGTACTTTGCCATTGCGAAAACAATTTTGATAAGGATGAATTAGAGCAGATGCAACGCGTAACTAACAGAAGCGGCGAATTATGTGTAATCGGAGTTGTCGAAAGTTTGTACGCCGTGGCAAGCTCCGTCGAATGGATGGCGCCCTTATATGTGAGGCAGCCCCCATCGTCGCCCAATAACCGTTAGTAAGTAGGCTCGGTCAAACTCTGGAGTTATTGGACCTGAAAGTGAAACTCGGTATCGTTTGTATCGTGGAAGTAAGGCTGACAGTAGGTTCCGGTCGGCCTTAGAGGAGTTAAGCTTTCTGTCACCGATGATTCGGAGCCGCCGGTCGGCACCTCATCTGCGTTGTGGGAACATAGATCCTTGCCTCGCATCTCACTATTTTGAATATTTAACTCCATATAGCTAGCGTTACGTTCTCCATACTTCTTCAGCTCAGTTCGGACCCGGGCGACAACCTTTTGGTCGCGTCCATCTCCACGGGTCCTATCGACGTAATTGACTATGGTATACGGTTCTCTTCATTGTATGGTTAATTTACGCTTTCCTCAGGGTCAGATCGTCTGATTTGATGACACGTACAGAGCGGTCAATCTTCTGCCAATCTTGGCTGCGGATACTGCCCCAGCCGCATGAACAGCCGGCAAGATGGTCACAGCTTTGATGGTGTCTTCCAACCTTAAAGGATTTAAAAGAATTAGTAAATCATCCGTAAGCCCGCAAGAAAGACATAAAATTCTGTCTATTTGTGATCGTCTCATCTGCCCGCTATTTTTTACAGATCGTCCCAACTTCTCAACCAGTCGGCACCGTCTTTCCGTCAATCTAAAGATGACCAAAGTCCTTGTTACAGGTACCGTGAACGTCATGATACACTCCAGCGAGCAAAAGCTAACAGGCGGATTTTACCGATTAGGCGGAACGGGTTTCGTCGCCGGCCATGTGATCGATGTCCTCCTTCAACGCGGACACTCCGTCCTGACGACGGCTCGATCGCAAGAGAAGGCGATGGCTATTCATGGATCTTTCAAAGACGTCCCCAAAAGCAAGCTCGAAACCATCGTCGTTCCCGACATTGCAGCCAAAGGAGCTTTTTCCGCTCTCAGCACCCACAATCTGGAAGCTGTGCTTCATGTGGCTAGTCCGGTAAGCTTGCGAAACCTAGACAGCCTCAATCCCCCTCGTTGCTCATCAGATTCAGTTCCATTACAACGTCACCGACCCCAAAAAGGATCTGATTGACCCTGCAGTCTTGGGTACGACCGGAGTTCTACACGCGATCAAAGAATCCTGCCCAGGTGTGAAGCGCGTTGTGGTTACTTCCTCCTTTGCGGCTATTCTCAACCCTGGCCTTGCCGCCTCAGGGGCGGAGAAGACATACTCAGAAGAGGACTGGAGCCCGTTGACCATTGAAGATGCGTACGCCAGTCCCGTCAGCGCCTATGTCGTATCCAAAAAGTCGGCAGAGAGGGCCGCCTGGGATTTTGTCGCCAACGAGAAACCCAATTTCACACTCTCCACGATTAACCCGCCCATGATTTACGGTCCAGTTAGACTACCACCGAAGACTCTGGCTGATGTCAACACTTCAAACCAGCTCCTGGCAGAGTTGGTTACTGGCAAGCACAAGGGTGGACTCCCGTCTACGGCACTGCCTCTCTGGGTTGATGTTCGCGACGTGGCGTTGGCGCATGTCAAGGCCATGGAAATCGACCAAGCAGCTGGAAAGCGTTTCTTTGTTACCAGTGGCTTCTACAGCAACGCTGAAATGGGCAAGATCGTATGGGATAAGTTCCCAGACTTGCGGGAGAAGTTGCCTGGGCTGGATGTGATGGGAGGAGCACCAAACCCCAACCTTAAGTCGTTTGGGTACAACACTTCCAGAGCCGAGGAAATTCTGGGAATGAAGTGGACAGCATATGAGAAGACTGTGGTGGATTCCGTGAAGTCTCTGATGGACTTGGATGGTTGAAGCAACATCAGTAGCTCAATGTAGAGCTCCATTTAGATTAGAACAAGTATCTTTTGCTATGCTGCAAACGCGTAACTCCCTGTCGTTGCAAAGACTGACCAATAGTCCAAATTTGGCTCCGTGTCCATGATCTCGGCAATGTCTTTCGCCGTCTTCAAACCTCCGGACTGCCACATGTTTGCGAGGCAATTCTTCACCCACTGCTTCACCGAATCATCTTCCGACACTTGGTGGACAAGATATAATGGTGCGAGGAATGTGCGACACTGAAGCTGTTGCACGGGCGAGAAGGGAAGAGTGTTCGTCTCGCACACCCTTGGCAACGTGAATTGTGGTACGGACGCACAAATGTGATGTGCAACGTCTCGAATCGTCTTCTTGAAGGCACTGTCTTGAGTATAGCTGCCATCTGCAGTGTAACGCTTTACTATGACGTATAGAATAAGCCTCATTGTTCGAAGCGCATTGGTGACTTGCGTGGTGTAGTGGTCCGGGTAGAGATGATAATATGTGCCGAGAACATGAGGATTACCCCCGGTGACTGGTATCAAGAGGGGCCGCCATGTCGATGGCACTGTTGCTTCCAATGTAGCCAGCTGGTCGTCCAGGCTCTTAGCTCGGATGACGAAGT